ATGATCACCACCCACCCTGACGGGAGCTGGTCTTACTCTAAAGCTACTCAGCAGTATGACGTGTGTTTCAGCTCAGACACGCTCAAGAGTGACGTGGTGGTTTTCCCCGCCCCGTTTCCACCTGTAGATGGAGAACTGATCAGTATTAACGGAGGAGACACTTTTACCAAGACTCAGACTTTACCTAACAAAGAGAAGGTAAGGGTAAACTTTCTTTTCTGAACCTTTTAGGTCAACCGTAGCATAAAAAAATTGCACCTGTACTTCACGGAGACACTTACAAGGACCCAGGCTGAACCCGTTAAAGCGGTATTTAACATTTCCAGTTGTGTTATTTCATTACAGAAATTAACCAGTATATTAAGTACAATTTGGAGAACATTTTATATTTTCTGTTTTATTTTCGTTTTTTAAATACACAGTGTGGATTCGATGGTGTGTATATGTGTTTTTCTTCTGTTCATTATCAGACGAAATCAATCAACTTGTGAATTTAATTTACATATAGTATTAAATTAATTTAGTAACATTTCAGATGCATTTTACCAACAGTAAAAAAGAAGGTGAAATACTAAGAATCGCTCACAAACATCCGTTGATTATTTATGAAAGAGATATTGTGACAGTTGTGGCAGATTTCCACGTGGTGGCGCCGCAGACTGTGACACTGAGATTTCTGTGTCGTAGTTTCGTGCTCCTCCCAGTTGTACAAGAGGATGTGGCTCTCCGGGCTTTTTGACAAAAACGGCAAGGACGGTGCGAAAGGACCGAGGGTGTATATATTATTTTGTACATGTAGGTGTACACTATAGTTTAGCGCATATCTGAAAGTGTATTTATAGTAACTATAGAAATTGTGAAAAGGTGACCTTGTTGGGATCTGCGTTTCAATTACGTTGTGGATTTATGCATGTACCAATGAGGATGTCTATTGTTTCATATCTGGTGCTTGTGCTGCTGGAGTGTTGTCGGGAAGCGCAATCTGTGCAGCTCTCATATTCCGTGTTTGAGGAAGTGGATGTGGGGACTTCTGTGGGAAATATCGCTAAGGATTTAAATCTCAGCCTTCAGGAATTGGAATCTCGCATGTTTCAGATTGTCAGCGGCTCGAAAAGAAAATATTTCGAGGTAAATCTAAAAACCGGTGCTCTCTATGTTAATGAGAGAGTAGACAGAGAGGAGCTCTGTGCGAAGACCCTAAAATGCACAGTCAATGTAGAAGCTGTGATAAACAATCCTTTAAAGCTCTATCGCGTAGAAATAAATATTCTAGATGTCAACGACAACGACCCGTTATTCACGGAAAGGTCTCAGATTATAGACATAGCAGAGAATACTCTGCCTGGGATGAAATTCGCTTTGTCTGAGCCTATTGATGCAGATGTGGGGAAGAATATGGTTAACGCTTTTAAGCTGACGCCGAATGAATATTTTTCTCTCGCTACTATCAAAGGCGGAGAAAGCGTCTATGCCGAACTAGTCTTACAGAAAACGCTGGACAGAGAGAAGCAGCCTGTGATAAATCTCACAGTGATTGCTGCAGATGGAGGGACTCCATCCAGATCTGGCACGTCACTAGTTATTATACATGTTTTAGATATAAACGATAACCCACCAGTGTTTAGTACCCCCTTGTACAAAACTCGTTTATTCGAGAATACACCAATTGGGACAAATGTGATTACACTAAATGCAACAGACGCAGATCAGGGAACAAACGGTGAGATAATGTATTCTTTGAGAAGTAAAGGGCAGGATCGTATATTAGAGATTTTTCACATTGATCCTGTAATGGGGGTGATCACAGTCAAAGCTAATGTTGATTATGAGGAATATACAGCGTTTGAGATCCGCGCAGAAGCTAACGATAAGGCCCAGCCACCGATGTCTGCTCACTGTAAGGTGCTGGTTGAGGTAATAGACGTAAATGACAACGCTCCGGCGATAACAGTGACGTCACTCCTCAGCAGCGTAAAGGAGGACGCAGGTGTAGGTACTGCGATAGCACTTGTATCCGTACTCGACCGCGATGGAGGTAAGAATGGGGAAATTAAATGTAAAATAAAAAATGATGTTCCCTTTAAACTAGAAACCAACTACAAAAACTATTATTCTTTAGTCGTTGACGGGGCCCTTGACAGAGAAATTATCTCCCAATACAACGTTACAGTTTCAGCGACCGATGAAGGGAGTCCGCCCTTAATGAACACAACTGTGATTACTATTCGCGTTTCTGATATAAACGACAATTCGCCTAATTTCTCAGAATCGGTTGTTAATGTCTACGTCAAAGAAAACAGTAAAGTTGGGGAGATTATTAAAAGGGTAACTGCACATGATGCGGACACTGACCGGAATAGTCAGGTGAGATATTCATTTTTAGAGAGTAACAGTAAATCAGTGCCGGTCTCTACAATGATTAACATTAACGCAGAGACTGGAGACATAATCAGTCTGCAGTCTTTTAACTATGAGGAGTTAAAAAGTTTTCAGTTTAAAGTTCAGGCCACAGACTCTGGTCTTTCTCCGCTCAGCAGCAACGTCACTGTTAACATTTTAATCCTGGATGAAAATGATAATAATCCAACAATTCTCGCTCCTTACTCTGAGCATGGCTCCGTTAACAGTGAGA